AAGCGTGGAGCTGGTCGCCCCAGGAGGGCTCTGCCCAGTAATGCAACCGATCATGAGAGTGTTTCACGGGAAAGAGCTTTGGTTTTCCTCCTGGCAACTCTGAGAAGCAGGCTTCGCTTCTGGACATGGTTTCACAGAGGACGGAGTCATTCAACTTCCCCAGGCCTCTTTGTTTTCCCATTTTTAAAGTGAACTTGTTCAGAATACCTGCTTCATAGTTTTGTTGGGGGGGCTAAAGGGGTCAGCCCATGCAAAAAGATAATAACATAGCGGCTCGCAGAGGCTGCACTAAGTCAGCATTCTTATTGAGAACTTGCTGTTTGCTGTGCCCGTTGTTAGAATTTTTATACTGGCGTAGGTTTGGGGGTCGTTTTCCTCTGCAAGTAGTAAGAAACTGCGGGCCTGGTCTCGAGAAAGAGAGAGGGTGGCTCCTGCCTGGTCCCGGTCAGCAGGGCACCCTGAGTCCCAGGGCTACCGTGTGGTCTGGGTTTCACTGCACAGGAGGTCAGGGAACAGAGGTTCTAGAACTGGCTCAGCCTCAGGGGCCACCTTGCCCAGGGGGTTTTGTTGCTGATCCCTAAGTCTCAGATGGCTATTCTTTTCTTAAAGATGTTTTTGAAAGATTTATGTATTTATTTACTTTTAGGGAGGGGGAGGGGAGAAGAAAGAGAGAGAGAGAGAGAGAGAGAAACACCAATGAGTGGTTGCCTGTCACCCACCGGTTACTGGGGACCTGGCTCGCAACCCAGGCACCTGCCCTGACTGGGAATGGAACCCTTTGGTTTGCAGGCCCGCACTCAATCCCCTCAGCTACACCAGCCAGGGCTTGCTTTTTTTGTTGTTGTTCTTTTTTAAGAGAGTTGGAATAAAACGAATGTTCTGCTTTATTTGTTTATAACTTTTGTACTACGAGAGGAAATCTGTTGCAGATATAAACGAGGGGTCCCGATTCCAGGATCCTGGCCCACTGTTTATGCGTCATGCCTTGGAAAACACTTAGGAGGCTAAGATTTGACTTCACGGAGGGGGACCTCTTTCCGGTCCATTGTTCAAAGCTGTTTTTGGCCCGGGCCCCCCATTTCCCAGGCACGAGCCTACAGGCCAGCAGTGCCTCAAGCCCGGGTCACTTCCAAGGAAGAGAGAGGGAAACACTCACAGCAGCTGCCCCCGCCTGCCTGGGGGGGTGGAGCAGCTGCTGACCTCCACGTCTAAAGGTTTAGTTTATTTATTCCCACTGAGGGACCCGCCAGACCCGCAGTGGAGTTACAAACTCCCTCCTACACAGGGAACATAATCTCTTGATGAAGCCAGCCAAATAATTCCAAGGTCAAAGATGTTCCATACGCACACACAGCTTTGGAGAGCCACTTCTCCCACATGTGCAACTCAGACGTTCCTGAGAGCCATCTCTCGTGTGACCTGTCTTTACTCAGAAGGAGCAGGAAAACTGGGGGGAGATGCGGAGAAAGCAGTGCGGACAGAGACGCAGGGTCCTTGTTCCGCGCCCCCCTGGCCCACAGACATCTGTCTCGTTTCCTGAGAACAAGAAGTATGAATCTCTGCCCACTGAGTGTCCGGCCACTCTTCCGAGCACTTCACCCATATAGGTGTCTATTAACTGACTTAACTCACACAGCCACCCTGTAAGGTAGACGCGATTATTTGTCCCATCTGAACTCAGCAGAGCGTGGGTAGTGAGTTGTCCACGGCATTCACGCTAGCCAGCGGCAGAGCATCATTCACACTCAGGACCCTCCCGACGGAGTCCACGCCAGACCACCTCGCCTGGTGACAGACAGGGAAGAACACAGAAGAACCAGGCCTTCTGGCCTCTAGTTGGTCCCTGTTTGGGTCATTGTAGACCAGCGAGTTTGGATGGGTGCTCAGAGACCACCCAAAGGCCAGCAAGAATGTCTTTTTTTTTAATGTTTTTTTTTAAGATTTTATTTATTTATTTCTAGAGAGGGAAGGGAGGGAGAAAGAGAGAGAGAGAGAGAAACATCAATGTGCGGTTGCTGGGGGTTATGGCCTGCAACCCAGGCATGTGCCCTGACTGGGAATCGAACCTGCAGCACTTTGGTTTGCAGCCCGCGCTCAATCCACTGAGCTATGCCAGCCAGGGCAAGAATGTCTTAATCCTTTGCTCATAGTGGCCATGAGCGACCAGACCAGATGAGACTGACACCTGGAGTTACCCTCCCCCGCCCCCTACCCCCAGCCCCGAGGCAAGGCCCCAGGGTCCCTCTCAGCACCAATCCATTCCGTAATCGACCTGCCGAACGAGCCGGGAGGGGGCCTCAGTGCCGGCACCCGACTCCCCGCAGCCCACCCCCTGAAGGCGTCACCCGAGGACCTCGTGAAAAGCCCCATGAATCCCAGGCTGCCTCTCCCCTCCCCTTCTCCTACCGGGGGGTCTGGCGCTGTGCGTGGAGGGCACATGTGTTCCTCATTCTTCTTGTTCTCTCTTTCTCTTTGCCGTCTTTCAGCCGCCGGGCGCCTCGTCCGCCGCCTGGGCTCAGGGAGGGAGGGTGAACGAGACCCCTGGTTTTCCTTGAATCCTGGGGGTGTGAGGGTACTGGGGCCCCCGTTCTGCTTCAAGCAGACCCACTCCATTACGGTGCACTCCATGAGCAGGCTTTTGCTATTGATCCCATGTAGGAAAAAAAAGTCTTTAGGGGCTAAAAAAAAAAATAGTTGGGAAGTGCACAGAAGCCTCCGCGCTGTGTTCCACCGTGGCCGCACCGACTTTCCTCCCCACCAGCAGGGCGCAGGGGGCCGCTTTGCTCCACGGCGCCCGCCGCCTGCATGTTGTGCATTGGCTTTGACCATGGGCATCCGAACAGGTGCGAGGCGATCGATGTCTCACCGTGGTTTTCATTTGCGTTTCTGTGGAGATCCCTGTCCAGTGGGTGGGGCAAGCGCAGTGTTCCGCCTGCTCAAAAAGAGTAATTTCACGCTTTATTAAAAAGTATTTGTTTTTAGAATTTATTGATTTGAGAGAGAGAGAGGCAGGGGGGCAGGGAGAGAAAGAGGGACACGTTGATTTGTCCCAGTCGCTGATGTGCTCACTGGTGAGTCTCATATGTGCCATGACCGGGGATCGAACCTGCAACCTTGATGCCCGTGTACGTAGTGCAGCCGGTGCTGTGAGTGTGAGGGAGAGGTCGCAGGAGGAGCCGCAGAAGAAGCCACATTGCCCGGGTAACCAAGCTAGTCACGGTGCAGGGTGACAGATTCCCCCATCCCCGGGCAAGGTGCGGTGGGGTGGGGGTGGGGAGGCCTCGCACGGAGCATGCGTGAGACCCCTGAGGGTAATTAGTGAAGGGAGTCATTGGCTAATTGCCTTCCTTCCTCCCTTCTGGTCCCTGGTTGAGGGTGAGACCAGAGGACACAGCTTAAAGGTCTACATGGCAAGAGGGGGAGGTGCTGTGCTGGGAAAAAACTGTCAGTCTAGCCTGGGGGAAGGACGGCATTGGCTGTGGGGGCCAGACCCTCCCAGTGAGGAAGTTTGGCCGGGAAATATAAAGCCAGGGTAGGGAGAGCCGCGCTTTCTTCTCCTGGACGTGCAGGCCCAGCTTTGCGGAACGGCCGGCCGTGGCCAGGACAGAGGCCAAGCTATCTGGAGGATGGCTCAGCGGTCGCCTGCGATTCCCGAGGGACGCGTCCTGTCGCAAGGACGGGGCTTCGGATTGGAGAAGGACCTCCGGGCGCCACCTCGGGCGGACCTGGCAGAGGGTGGCGGGGTTTTCCTCTGGGTTTTCCAGAAAAGATGGGCTTTGAGGCAGGAGGCTGCTGCCTGCCCAGACGTGTGGGTTTGAATAAAAGACCTTTTACTTTTCTCACCAAAACTGTCCTCCAGAATTTTCCTACGGACGGCGGCAGGCAGCCAAAACCCGCTGTTGTTCTGCACCAACCTTGGTGTATCAAGACCATGTTTGAAGCAACCGAGATACCCAGCCTGGGCTAAAAAGCAAAGCACTTCTTGAACATTATAATAAGCACGGGCGATAAAGCAGTGGACAGGGAGTGACTGTCCTCCTCAAATAGTTCTTGGGCGACTGTGGCTTGTTTGCTGTGAAGGTGCAGCTGAAGATGACTAAGTGTTTAAAGTCGAACGTTCTGCCTGGTGAGCACACGACACACCTGAACTTGGTGAAGAGGCTAGGTCTTACGTGTTCTCGCCGCACAAAAAAGCGGGAGGGGCGGCAACTGTGTGAGGTGAAGGAAGTGATGGACACATCCATGAACTTGACCGCGGTCATCGTTTCACAGTGCATATGTGTATCAACCCATCGCCTTGTACGCCTTCGATGTATACCACCTTCCTTCACCCCGTGATTCCTCCATAAAGCCGGGGTGGGGGGAATGGACAGAAAGTCAAGGTCAATAAGGAGCGACCCGGCTCTGATGTCCTTTGACACGAACATCCCAGGGCACGGACACTCTACCACTCGATTGAATAACGGGGGTGAGGATCTCGTGTACTACCATGCCTGGGTTCCCAGGGGGCGGGCAATGTTCAGAGCGGCTGGCGCCCCTCTGCCTGCGGGTGGGAGTCTCCCGGCTGTTTGAGTGGCCCCTTCCCGACCTCCCACGTCCTGCAGACCCCCCCATGTGAACACGGGGGCCAGGGAAGGTTCTTCGATCTCCCCATCCCTTCCTGCATTCGGTTCCCTTGTGTGTTTTTTTCCCCCCTCTACAGATGATTTGTGCTAGGGAGAGCTTTTAACAACATTCCTCTTAGATTACTATCCTTGCTCAGGGCCCCCTTTTGTCCCGATTTTGAGCCCCAAGACGCGGCAGTGGTAACGTGCCAAGTGCCTTGCCCTGGCTTTGCCCGTCTGAAGCACTGTTAAGTGGCCCGGGTGTGGGAGTTATCAGTGCAGGACCTCCCCCTGTGACTTGACGCTGACCTGGCAGAGGCAGAGGTTTCCCTGGAAGCTCCCCACTCCCTCTGCAGCCTTTAAAAGGCAGCCAGAGCAGTCGCAGGAGCTGAGAGGCTGAGACCGGCACCAACGCCAGCAACTCCCTCGCCCAAGCTCGCGTCCCCGCCCTCCAGCATGAAGGTGTCCGCAGCCCTGCTGTGCCTGCTGCTCGCCGTGGCCGCCTTCGGCCCCCAGGTGCTCGGTCATCCAGGTAAGCCCCCTCTCTCCCTGCGGGAGAGCTGACCTCCTCCAAAACTATCACCCCGGGTGCTATGCGTGAACAAGAAGTTAGTTCCCAGCCTCTCACAGTCACCGGGAGACCCAGCACTCGAATCCCGGGCTGGCCCCCACCTTCTTTCCTGACGTGGGTGTGGGGAGAGATGGAGAGATGGAGAGCGGAGCTGTGGCCTGGCTACAGCCGCACCCCGCTGTGTGCGGCGTTTGGAGGTCGGGCACACGGAAGAAAGACCCTCCCTTCCTGTGGGCACCGTGGGCACTTGGGGCAGGGCTGTGGGGCGGGGGGTGGGGGAGTGCTTGGGGGGAGGTCCCGAATTTTCACTGGCTTCTGAGACAGCGTGCAGAAATGGCGGTTAGAGGTAGGGCACCAGGAGGTGGCACGGAATCTCTCGAGTTGACATTTTGACTCTGTTTGGAAAAAAAAAAATCTGGGTGTTTCTATCACAACTCATTTTCTCATCCTCGGATGCCTTCGATTTCACTGCGTGCGCTCAGTACAGACAGATCGTGTGCGCGCTCTGGTAACGAGTCCCCCTGCATGGCCAGGCACCCGCACTTCCCACTCACACGCAGCTTCTGTAACGTTTTGGCTCAGCCTCCAGCTCACACGCTCAGGACTCCGGGCTGACGCCGGGGCAGCCGCCGCGGACAGACCCGCTGCTCACTGAGACAAAGCGGGAGAACGCTCTTGAGGTTCTTACACGGGGAGTGACGAACGCTGACTCAGAAACGCTGCCTGTCACTTTGGCTTCTCACTTCTGGGTCAGAACTAGTTCATGCTTCCAGCCAACCGAGAGTGGCCAGGTGACGCCAGGCTGCCCCGTGTCCGGAAAGCAGAGAGAGGAGGACATTTGGTGAACAGGACTGTGACTGCCACATATAGCTACGTGGGTCTGTAGTAACAGAGGTAGAGCTTATGGAACTGACCCCATTGTTTTCTATACTTTTGTCCGTGGTGATGGGTCCCCACTGTTCGGCTGGGGGACCCCAAATCAAGGGCAGGAAGGACAGGGTCTCACACTAGATGAATTCTACCTCCTTCTCTTACATTTTCTTGCCTTCTCCTAAATCCCCTCCTTTCCTTACAACAGCACGCTTTAAAATATGTACACATTATTCGCGGCTCATCCTTTCTTTCCTTTTCCCCCCAAAATTCAGTTATTGGCGTACCCACCTGCTGCATCAACATGGCCAATAGGAAAATCTCTGTTCAGAAGCTGAAGAGCTACAGAAGGCTCACCAACAGCAGGTGCCCCCAGGAAGCTGTGATGTAAGTAGACAAAGCTCCCCCTGTCCCAGCCCCGGACTTCATTTTTAGGGGGCAGAGATCAAGAGCTGTGCCAGAGTTGCATGGGGCCAGAGGCTCAGAGTGTCCGACCTCCATCATCCAGTTCACGCCCTTTCACTGCAGGGCATTCTCACCCTCAGCTCTCTCTCTGCAAGCTTGTCCGGGCCCGGCCAGTGCCCCTTCCAGCCCAGAGCAGGGACGGCTTGACTGGGCCACCGAGAGCAGCGGCCAATCCCAGAGTCCCATCCTGCCCCTGTCCCCTTCTTCCTCGCCCATAGCAGCCTCTTCGCCCCCTCACGGCGGGCAGTCCTGGACACTGGGGGGGGGGGGTTAAATGGACATGATCTGCAAAGGTGTGCTTCTAATCACTTCCCGTCTCTCCCACAGCCTCAAGACCAAACAGGCCAAGGAGATCTGCGCAGACCCCAAGGACAAGTGGGTCCAGCAGGCCATGAAGTTCCTGGACAAGAAGGCCCGACCCTGAAAGCCATAAATACTCACCTTTTTCACTCCGAACCAGAGCTTAAGAAATGCTTGACTTGTTTCCTCTGGTATTTGTATGATGCATTCTGAGACAATCTCGTCATCCTTCCAAAGGGAATGCTTTTATTTAATAATTAAACAATATTGCATTTAAGTTATTGATGTGTTTAAACTTTTCTGCCATGGATACCACGTGTGGGTTCTTTTTTTTTCTTTTTTTCTTTTTTTTTAACGTAAAGCTTTGGTTAGGTCCCTTCCCCTCTGTGAATCTCCATTTAGTCCAGGGAAAGTAATGTTACTTTGTTTCTTTGAAGTAATGTCACTACTCTCCTCCTCACCTCCCTGGAATCCAGGAAGGGGTCCTGGCAAAGATACAAAAATGTTTTGTATTCTTAAGAAGACACTGATCTTATGAACCAATGGCGTGACTCGTGCTGTTAAATGGAAATAAACACCTGAATATATGTTGTATCACTGTCAGCAGTTGTATTTTTGTGGGAACCCACACGGAGCCAGGAGGCAGAAAGGTGGGAGCAGGGGTGACGGGTACAGTTATGGGGGTGTGGGGACTGTGTTTCTGAGACACGCCCCTGTGGTTTGGCTGGCCTTCCACCCGATTCAGGGTAAAAGGGACAGGAACAGACACATCTTTTCTATTCCTCTGACTCTGGTCCCCAAGATGGGTCTCCCGGCCCCCAAGGTCTTCCGTTTCCCAGCTCTCAAATTATTCAGCGGGACTCTCACCACCGTTTTTCTCCTGGCCAGACTCATGCTCACCCAGAGCCTCTCTCCCGGGTCCCTCCCACTGCGGCAGCCCGTGACACCCTGGCCATGCTGACCTTACTCCTCTGACTGTCCTCCGGCCCAGGCACACAGACCAGGCAGAGGAGGGCCAGATGACCCTTGACAAGAGGCACTTAAAGAGGCATAAGCCTGGAGCTTCAACGAGGTCCTGATGGAGGGACAAGGGCACTGGCCCTTTAAGAGAGGTCTCCGGCTGGGGAGACAGGAACGAGGCACAGCTGGAGAGAATGCCTAGAGGTAGAGATGATCACAGGATGTTTTTCAAGTTGGGTGGCAGCCCACTGGATCGGTGACAGGGTCTGAATGAAATGGGGGGGGGGCAGGATTTGGGAACAGAAGTTGAGACCAGTCTGGGAAGGTGGGGGGAGGTTTGTCATCCATTCAGAGAGTGGTAAGTAACACAACCGTGTCCTTTGTAACACCTGAATGAGGACTTTTGAGAGTGAGAGGAGGCACCGTTAATAATTATGCTGAGACGACAGATACAAATTAGCAGTGTCCCAGGCAAACTAATAGGCACCAGACGTTTTGATTGGGTGGGGCCGGGGCGTGCCATGGCCAGAGGCGCTGCAGCAATAGTAACCACAAGGCCCAGGGCCAGGGGGTGGGGGGGAGGGAAGAGCAGGTAGCTCTCGCTATTGCAATGTGCAGGCAGGAGGTGAGGGAGACGCGGAGACCGCAGTGGTGCATGGGGAGGTGGGGAGGCAATTGCAAGAAGAAAGGGACTGTGTGAAGTGAAATGCTGAAAGATGTGGGAGGAGAAGCAGGACTGGTAACACAGAAACTTTCGCAACAGCACGAAGCTGCAGTTAATCAAATGCCCTTCCCCATCATGACCCTCCCCCCCCACCCCCCTAGCCTTCCAAGCTCAAGAGCTTCCAACGGAATGGAGAGGCCTCCGCTTTCTGTACAAGCAACCCAGCCAGGACTCCTCTGCAGCATACGAAACCTGCCTGCACTTCTGTCAGCCGTGCGACCCCGTATGTCCCCAAGGGTAGAAAAGATCGCAGGTGTCCTGCTGCTGTAACTCCATGTGGTCACAGGCTGCCGGTCTAGAAGGTCCACTACCCACCGCATCACGTTCTGCCCAGCAGGGCCGCTGCCTTGTGTAGCTCCAGGGACGAATTCCCACTCAGGTCCCATGGGTCTCCTGTATGCAGCGGTCTCGGCACAGGCGACCTAAGTGAGGCACCAGAAATGGTACTGACCTGGGGGACAGGTGACTTCCCCGGCCCCTGAATCAAGCCTCTCTCACTCTGTTCCTTTGGGCCCTGATGATCTCACCCATAACAGGAGGAGAAGTATGTTTCAGGGGAGATGGTGAGGAATTTACGGGTGACCCCACAGACTCCCCGCGCTGAGTGCACCTTCTCTCGGAGAACATCATTAACTTCGCCCACTGGGGCGGGGGAGTTCGGGCGAGGGCTCTGCATGCATGCTCCCATGTCAGACGGATGCCGAGGGAACGCACACCTACTATATCTCAGACAGAGCTTTTCGAGAAGCTTCTCTGCGAGAGCCTCAGGTAGAAGCAGGGACCCCAGGAGGCGTCAGAGACCTTGCAGCAGCTACCACGGAATGGCCCCCATTCAGAGCAATGGCTGGACCCCACTCCAGGTTCCACAAGCTTGCCTGTCTCTCCTGCAGCTCAGCGGACTTCAGCCCTGGTTATGCAAAGGGCCGGGGTCCCAGAAAGCCTGTTGCTTGTCAATTGCAAGGAACTTGCCTGTTGCTTGTCAATTGCAAAGAACTTCCCTGTTGCTTGTCAGTTGCAAAGAACTCCCCTGGAGGACTGGCTGTGAAAGGCTGGGGTTCATTAGGACTTACATGTGCACCTGTGGCGGCCCAGGCTTTCCTGGCACGAGGTCACACAGGGCACAGAAAGCAGACCGAACGGGGCAGGAGTGGAGGGAGCGGGGTGGAGACGTGTTTGTGCGCCAGCTGCGGGAGATGGAAAAGTGCTCGCTCGCTGTTTCTCTGCAGTTGTTTCCAGTCCCAGCTCATATCCGAGTGCAGCTCTGTCCGGCCAGCTCCTGATGGAGGGGCTGGCCAGGCTCCCAAGGTCTGCTGTGCAGTCTGCTGGCAGATGGGGGGGTGGACCTACTCCCAACAGGGTGGGAGGGGGGCTTGGGGCTTGAGAGAGAGCCCGCTGTATACTTTTTCCCACTTAATTGGAGTTCTTAACTCTTGGAAACCTAAGCTTTTATGTAACTGAACAACAACAAATAATTTTTAAAAAAGAGAAAGAAATCTAAACTTTTAGTGACAACTAAAAGTAATTAGTACGCTTTAAATTGGCAAATTTAGGAATACATTTGATAACTTCTAGAAACAGTTTCTTTTACTGGCAAATACACTCACATTTTCAAGAGACATAATTCAAATAAAGTGTAAGAGATAGTCATTAAGAGATCCAAATTTATTTTCTAGCCCCTCTGTAATAAGAAGGCAAAAATAGGGAAACTTAGATCAATTCATGTTTTAGTATGTTGGTATTCCAAAATATCTAGATACAGCACTATGACGGAAAAGCTTCATCAAAAACCTTTCATGTTAGTTATATCTCTTTATTAGCTCCTAACAGCTCTGTAAGACTTTAAAGTTAATTATTACCCAAGCCTTTTTTCTTGACAAATGTTGCAACAGAAATAAATAACATGAATTTATTTTTGTAAACCCAGGTGAAACAAGTATGTATTCACGTCAATAACCCTAAAATATATGAACTGAACTTAAATCACCCGTTTGGATTCTTGGTGATGATTGCATTCCTTCAGTGTGCTCCAAAGTGAGCTGTTGAACTCCCCGGAGCCCTGGACCACTTCTAAGGAAGCCAGAGGAAGTGTGGGGAGGCTCAGGCTTGGAAACAGCCACTTGTTTTCATCACACTGAGGTGAGGCCGGAGCCCCTGCTGCTCTGGCAGCCCAGCCGGCACAGGGTTCGGGGCGGCACCGACTCCCCTCTTGTCCCACGGGCTGCTGCAGCCTCCGGGCCTCCAGGAGGAAGATTCGGGGTGCTTAAAACGTCTCATTTTTACAATTTTCCTTTTGTTTTTGCCAGCTGCAGCTCCCACGCCACTGGTTCCATGACAGAAATGACTCCTGCTGGTGTTTTCGGGGCATCCCCAAACTCATGCATGGTCCCTAACTCTCAGTTAGGGCGGCCCCCTCAGATTTCCACTCCGGACCCCCCCCTCCATGGAGGTTCTTTTTCAAACTGGTATTTCCCTAACTATATCAGCATGTCCTCCCATCCCGTCTCCACCAGATGTCCACTCCATTGGAATTTTCTCTGGAATCCTGCCCGTATTCCCATTGTTATGCCAAGAGCCGGGGTTGAGCAAACCTCAGTGTATTGCTTGCTGTTTCTGAAGAAATGACCTGGTGCCCTGGCTGTGCAAGGCACGGGTTTGTGAGGATTTGTGCACCCCGGTGGCAGCCGGCCAGTGACATTTTCCACAACACAGGCTTTTCCAGCACAGGGTCGCATGGAGCACAGAAAACAGAGCAAGCTGGGCAGAGGGGGGAGGGGGCATGTGCCCACACACACTGGGTGAGGTGGGAAAACGCTGTCCCTTTCTCTGCAGCTGTTCACAGTCTGGGCTCAGACACGGAAGCAGTTTCTGTTGGGCCGTTTCTTGACCAAGGAGCTGGCCAGGCTCCCAAGGTCTGCCCCACCGCCCACGTGCAGGAGGCCTTCGTCAAAGCCCCACGGGCCGGGCGAGGGAGCTGCAGCTCAGGAAGGGGCCCGTGTTCTCATGTGCCACGCACACTCTCTTCTCCTTCCAGGGATTCCCTAACCTGATTCACCCGCAACTAACTGGGCACCGCATCTCCTGCCCCTGGAGTCTAAAACTGTGAGCACAGAGCAGTGAACATGTTTAAGCCTTCTGATAGTATTATCAGTGGGAAACAAGTTCTTGCCGTGTGTAAAGAAAAGGAATTTCCCTAGACCCACACGGCAGGGTGGGGCTCTGTGGTACAGTTGATAAATAATGTGAAATAGAAGGGGGGTTCCCCTCCTGACTTCCCAGTGCCCCATCTCTGTCCACCTTGGCATGGACAGAGTCCAGCTGTGTCCTCAGCAAGGCCAATGCAAAAGCCAGTGTAGTGTCCAGAGTTTCTGCCTCATAATAAAGCTTATTTTTTGGAGCCCGTAGGTGACTGCTAAGCAATCTCAGTCCCCATTCAGGTAGCTGAGCTTGCTCCCAGATGGTCTGGTGGCAGGGCCCACATGGCTGCTAACCCTGCAGCAGCTAAGGACACATGGCCACGGAGAGAGAATGTGGGAGCACACGTGACACGTGCAGGCCCCGAGCCAGAGAGAGAGAGCTCTGCTCCTCTGGGATTCTGCTGCTGGGGCCTGGGATGGACCACGTGCCTTTTCAAAATAACCAAGCAGTTTCCCAGGCTTTCTCAGGCTTTGGATAAGGTTTACCTCCCAACCAATCCCTTCTTTCCTCAGGCTAGAGTGACAGGCCTCTTTGGTCAAGCTCCGCCCCCTATCCCCTTGGGACTTCTACTGTGTACATTGCCTGCCTTTCCCTGCTCCCACCTGGCAATCCGGTCCTGGAGCGGGTAAAGGGTGAGTGTTAATCTCCTTGGCGGAGCACAACACTCAGGTCCCCTCCAAGTGTGAACAGCTGTAGCTTCCTGGCGAAGCAAA